GCAGCACCTCTTCATCCAACAGCAGCTCCAAGGAAGGCACTCACTCAACACTTGAAAGACACACCACACCAAGGGCCACAACCTTGACAATCACTTCACTTTGCTATTTAGAAAGCCAAAGACAAGCAAAACTTTTCAGACACTTGGCAAGACTCCAACTCATTGGAACCAGATTGAGGGACCCATTGCAAGCCTCCTGAGGTATCCTTTTAGGCGGATAGACCTGGCCTCTTTGTTTTGACAAGAAGAACTGTCGTCATTTCTTTAACAGGTAGACCTGGTCTCTCTTTCTGACGGGTAGACCTGTTCTCTCTTTCTGACGGGTAGACCTGGTCTCTCTTTCTCACGGGTAGACCTGGTCTCTCTTTCTCACGGGTAGACCTGGTCTCTTTTTCTGGCGGGTAGACCTGGTCTCTGTTTTTGGTGGGTAGACCTGGTCTCTCTCTCACGGGTAGACCTGGTCTCTCTTTCTCACGGGTAGACCTGGTCTCTCTTTCTCACGGGTCGACCTGGTCTCTCTTTCTGACGGGTAGACCTGTTGCCATTTTTTGACGGGTAGACCTGGTCCCTGTTTTTGGCGGGTAGACCTGGTCTCTCTTTCTGACGGGTAGACCTGGTCTCTTTGTGCTCAGTGCCGCCGTCTGCTGGCAATTCTTGGGAAATGCGACTCACCCTCTTTGCTATACAACCAGCAGTCCAGACCTGCCCCTGACAGGCCTTCCTTTCTCCCCACACCTCCACTCACCCCACAACTTGGCCTCAAGCCACAAACGCTCCTTTCAAGGTCCACCACAACCCATTTCTACTCAAACACTCCACTTCCATCTCCTGGACCACCTGGCACAAGAAGGGAACAAACCAGCACCTTCAAGCCAAATCAGCAGCACCTCTTCATCCAACAGCAGCTCCAAGGAAGGCACTCACTCAACACTTCAAAGACACACCACACCAAGGGCCGCAACCTTGACAATCACTTCACTTTGCTATTTAGAAAGCCAAAGACAAGCAAAACTTTTCGACACTTGGCAAGACTCCAACTCATTGGAACCAGATTGAGGGACCCATTGCCAGCCCCCTGAGGTATCCTTTTAGGCGGATAGACCTGGCCTCTTTCTTTTGACAAGAAGAACTGTTGTCATTTCTTTAACAGGTAGACCTGGTCTCTCTTTCTGATGGGTAGACCTGGTCTCTCTTTCTGACGGGTAGACCTGGTCTCTCTTTCTGACGGGTAGACCTGGTCTCTCCTTCTCACGGGTAGACCTGGTCTTTCTTTCTGACGGGTAGTCCTGGTCTTTCTGACGGGTAGACCTGGTCTCTCTTTCTGACAGGTAGACCTGATGTCAGTTTTTTGACGGGTAGACCTGGTGTCAGGTCTTTGACGGGTAGACCTGGTGTCACTTTTGCATGGGTAGACCTGTTGTCAGTTTTTTGACGGGTAGACCTGGTGTCACTTTTGGATGGGTAGACCTGGTGTCAGGTCTTTGACGGGTAGACCTGGTCTCTCTTCCTCACGGGTAGACCTGGTCTCTCTTCCTCACGGGTAGACCTGGTCTTTCTTTCTGACGGGTAGACCTGGTCTCTTTGTGCTCAGTGCTGCCGTCTGCTGGCAACTCTTGGGAAATGCAACTCACTCTCTTTGCCTTACAACCAGCAGTCCAGGCCTGCCACTGACAGGCCTTCCTTTCTCCCCACACCTCCACTCACCCCACAACTTGGCCTCAAGCCACAAACGCTCCTTTCAAGGACCACCACAACCCATTTCTACTCAAACACTCCACTTCCATCTCCTGGACAACCTGGCACAAGAAGGGAACAAACCACCACCTTCAAGGCAAATCAGCAGCACCTCTTCATCCAACAGCAGCTCCAAGGAAGGCACTCACTCAACACTTCAAAGACACACCACACCAAGGGCCACAACCCTTACAATCACTTCACTTTGCTATTTAGAAAGCCAAAGACAAGCAAAACTTTTCAGACATTTGGCAAGACTCAATCTCATTGGAACCACTTGGTGGGACTCATTCCCAGCCTCCTGAGGTTCTCTTTTAGGTGGCTAGACCTGTTGTCATTTTTTTTGACAGGTAGACCTGGTCACTTTTTTTTGATGGGTAAACCTCTTGTCATTTTTTCTCATGGGTAGACCTCTTGTCATTTTTTGATGGGTAGACCTAAAGCCTAAGCCTGACTCTACCTAACCCCTAAGCCAAAACCTTAGTCTAACCCTAAGCCTAAACCTTATCCCTAAGCCTAAGCATAAACCAGAGGCTAAGCCTAACTGTAACACAGCCCTAAGCCTAAAGCCTAAGCCTAACCATTACCCTAACATTTAATTAATTAGGTAATTAGTTGGCTAATTCATCAGTTACTTAGTAATTTACTCAGTTATTTAGTTCCCTAGTTAACTGGTTAATCAACATCTCAGTCTCATATCAGGCCCACTCTCCAGTCACACCACCGTCTCCTTGCAGTACGTCTCCAGTACTTCCCCACGTCCTCCCCAGTCCTATTCCAGACCCTGCAGTCCCTTTCCCAGTGCCCTCAGTCCCATCCCAGTTTCCTCCCCTGTTCCCCAGACCCATCCCAGTTCCCACGCCAGTGCCCTCAGTCCCTCCTCCAGGGCCATCCCAGTCCTTTTCCCAGTGCATTCCAGTCTCACTCGCCAGTCCCCTCCCCTGTTGTGGTTGTTTTAATCTAGGCCTTCCCTGGTTACCAGTTTGTAACCAAGGAAGGGGCAGTGTTCCCAGTATTCCATACGATTTTTACGTAAATCGAGGTATACATAAGAAGAGAGGAGAGGCCTTCGCTCTTCTTCTCTTCCGGCGAAGTTCAAGAACAGTGGGTCCCTGCATTAGTCTCACTTATCTAAGGCTGAGGCCTGCAGCATCCACTGACCTGCCACGTGGAGACTTGGGGAATGCTGGCCATGTGTGGGTCAATCCTGTTTTTTTTCTAAAGGATGTGATGAGATTTGTTTTACTAGTTATTTTACTAATTCTCGGGTTTGATTGCGTAGATCTGCTCGGTGTCCTTTTTTTGTTCCCTTTTGTTCCTTTTCCCCTTTCCCTATCCCTTCGGGGGGTGTTTGGATTCCCTTTTGCTGTGTACATAGCATCTTAACTGTAATATACATAAAATATATATTTTTCTTCTATAACTAACTTGATTTTCGGGTTCTTGAATTTACATAGTTCTTTTTCCTTTGCCCTGGGGGAAGTAGGAAGGGGAAAGAGAGAGGTTGCTACTGTGGAATTGGGCATTTGGCAGGGAGCCAAGTCCGAACCATCACACCTGTCCAGTCACAGTCCCCTCGCAGACCCCCTCGGTCCCTCCCCAGACCTATCCTGGTCCTTGCAGTCCCTTTCCCAGTGTCCCCAGTCCCATCCCAGTTTCTCTGTGTCCTCTCTCCTTGGCAGCAGCCATTGGAGAAGATAGAAGAGGCATCCTGTAGGACAGCGAGGACAGAGTGAGTGAGCAGAGGAGTGGCCTCAGGCTGGAGAGGGGCAAGAGAAAGGCTATGTGGGCAAAGGGACCTCCCTGTTTTCA